ATTTATTGATAAATCACCAGAATCATATTTATTAAATTATATTTAACCTCATTATACCGCACATTGAGGTTAGTTATTAATAATAACTTATTATGTTCAATGAATTCAACATAAGTTTTTTTTAAAAATTGACTCAAAATATACCGTGTTTATATTATCATTTTCAATTACTATACTTATTTTCTATATTTTCTATTGATATACCTGAGTACAAGTTTACAACTTTTAATATAATAATTTTTATTTAGGGTATTTGCTTTTAAAAATTTTAATGAATCAATTTTCATTTCGAAAAGAATGTCAGTTTTAAAGTACTGTGTATTTGCTTTACAAATATCACCCAGACACATTCATTGTTAAGGACAATCAGCAGGTTGGACACAAACGTTGTTAACGGTGTCGCGAACTGTTCCCGATATACAGACACATCCAGCCTTTCGGATGATCCCCTGACACAAGACTCCCGTCGGGTGGGCACAGGTATAGTAACAAACCGGAGAAAATGTTGAATAACTCTCATTTGATCCACATATAGGAGTTTGTCGTTTGCCTATTCTGTTCAATGAGTTTAACAAAACTCTAATAAACTATGACTTAAAATATGATTGAAATGAATACTCACGGGTTGGGGCACTGACTCTGAGGGACACACTTTCCGGAAGTGGTGTCTCTGATAGTGCCGGTAATGCACTGACACGACGCCTTTTCTTCGAGGGCCCCACATCGGGCAGAGTTACGGTTTTGACACGTAGGGGGACAGGCAGGTGTTGGTGACAACCAAACCTCATTAGGTCCACAAGTTTGTCCTATTTTATTGTAAATATTGCTGGTATTAAAAATGTATAAACTATATATACTCTGTAATATAGATTTGATATTATTGATACATTATGAAAGCATTTACCCAAAACACATAGAAATCCTAACTGGATTAACACATGAGCTAAAACTATTTTCATGTTTTAAAACTGTATATCTTTTACCAAAATATAAATATTTTATTGTATTAAATGAAACGCTTGCTAATATTTATAGAATTTATAAAACTAATAGATTTCTATTTACAAGAATTGTGATCTAGATTGTAGAATCTAGATTAAAGTTATTAATAATTTTAAATGCATTTGTTCTAATATTTATTGATAAATCACCAGAATCATATATTTATCACTAAATAATAATTAATTTTAAATTTAGCTTCAAATATATAATAATACAAATTACTAATATTTATAGAAAAAATACCTATTTCCAATAATTTTATTTTTAATTAGAAACTTTTTCAAACAAATTAGTTCACCATGGAAGTATTTATAATACCAAATGAGATTAATATAAATTTTATTTAATGTTCTTATATGTTTAAAATATACAATTTAAGAATATCTGATAATTAAATTATTTTTTATTGATTCGAAATTTTAAACAAAAATTGAAAACTTAAAATTCTGTATATTAATTTGTATAATTTTATTGTCAATAATAGTAAATATTATGTTCATTATTTGGGACAATCTCCTGGTTTGATGCAAACATTGTTAGTGGTCTCGCGAACTGTTCCCGATATACAGACACATCCAGGCTTAGCGATAATCGCCTTACACAAGGGCCCATTCGGGTTAGCACATGTAGGCGGACAGGCAGACATAGTTTGAGCATATGTTTGATTCGCAGGACATGTAGGCTGTGTGGTCAGTCTGTTCAACGAATTTGTTTGAAAAAGTTTCTAATTAAAAATAAAATTATT